CTGCACCTTTGCGGGCCAGTGACCGACGGCTACCAAATCTCGCGGAACTCGTTTTCCCTCCCGGGAAGTTGCCCGAACTAACTCTGGGCAGCGGCAGCTTAACCTTTTTCCGGCTTCTTCAAGCCCTGAAGAAAAACTTTATTGACAAAGCTACCAGAACACGGACAGTGGACCCAGCCAGTGGGCTGAAACCAAGCTGGCTGGGCTCATGCTAGGACCTAGGAGCTGACTTTGCCTCGTCCCTACAGAGATTATTTAGTCCATCCTTCTGCTCCTCCACCCACCCCCGGCCAGTTGAACCAAGTCTCTTTCAGATTACTGGGTAGAGTGATTCCAAATCTCCCATTTTCTATTATTTAAACAAATAACAGAAGTGTGTGTGAAAGTGTTCTTGTAAAGAGCCGAACATAAGAGTAAGGCTTTCCGCCGAAACCGGTTTGGCTCAGTGGGTAGAGCGTCAGCCTGCGCACTGAGAGGTCCCGGGTTCGATTCCGGTCAAGGGCATGTACCTGGGTTGTGGGCACATCCCCAGTGGGGGATGTGCAAGAAGCAGCTGATCGATGTTTCTCTCTCATCGATGTTTCTAACTCTCTCTATCTCTCTCCCCTCCTCTCTGTGAAAAATCAATAAAATATATTAAAAAAAAAAAAAAAAAGCAGTAAGGCTTTCCAAGACATGAACCTTCTGTAAGTGCCTTGGCCCTCCATCTCTCCCTCCCAAACATTTCCAGCCCAAACATTTATTGCACACCCGCCGTTTTCCAGCCACAAACCCGGGTCTGGAGACACAAAGATGGGCAACCCAGACACAATCCCTCCCAAAGCTCAAATGACTTTAGAGGTGAGGTTCCACCATGACTCTGCCCCCTGGTCCTCCCACTGGAAAGACCACGTTGGATTCCTATTGCTTTCTTGACCTTAAACCTAAGCTAAAAACAAACAAACAAACAAGGGATTGGGATGGAGGGGTGGGGAGAAAGCTGTGTACATGTTGTTATGGAAACAAATTTCCCCTCGACCAATATGATCCTGTTCCAATCATTGACCTTCTTTCTGTTCCTGAAACAGCCTAAGTCTTTCCCACTCATTGGTCTTGCACTTTCTGTTCCTCTGCCTGGAACATTCATACTTCTCAGTTCCCTTCAGGTCTCGGCTCACATGGCACCTTGGCAAAGAGGTTTTCCCTCATGAGACTGTCTTACTGACTTAGTTGCTAGGCTTCTTTATTATCTGTTACCCCAGTAGAACAAGCTCCTCAAGAGCAGAGACCTTGCCTGTCATCTTGTTCTCTTACCTGTCTGTGCCTAGAATAGTGTCATTAATAATAGGTGCTCAATAAATATTGAATGAATAAGTGTACAAATTCCAGCTCTTTTCTGGGTGTTCCCTACTCCAAGCACCCTTTGATGCACATACCCAATGGTCCCCCTCTGCCTTGCTGAGCTGGGAGCTCCTGCATGTCCTGTTTGCCTGGAACACACTCTTATTTCTATGCCCAGCTGCACCCCCACTTTCAGAAAGAATGGCGTGCTCCTCTAATGCTTTTTCTGTCGGCCGATTCAACGGGGCGGGGCCTGCCCCTTTAATCTGGGCCCCACCTGCTCTGGTCAGACTGGTTTGGAGACACAGGTAAAGGGAGGGAAGGAAAGGAATACTTGCAGAGCCAGCAGGGAGCTGGGCAGCTCTTTCTCAGAAGCTGGGGACCCTCCACGTCTCTCCAGGTTGAAAGTAAGAGGGTGTCATGGGTCCAAATGGCAAGGGGTAGGAGGCCCTCGAGGAGGTGGAGGGAGGGATCAGCCCCACCAAGAAGCAGTGAGATGGCAGGGAGAGGAGAGAGACGGAAGAGGCATAGAGAACAGCCATGATTGGACCTAGAAATCAGAATGCACAGACGTACGATAGATGAGGTATGCTAGTGAGGAGTTTAGAAACTGTCCAAGTGCCCAGACTGGAGACTAAAGAATAGGGAACGCTGCTACTGCCAGTTCCTTGGGACAGATTTGTTGGCAGATCCCTGGTCTCAGTTGCCGGGAGAGTTCTAAGTGGGTATCTCCAGGAGAAGGGGAGGTTTGAAAGTGAAGGGACGGCCTTTCTGTCCACAAGGAGACCCTTAGTGGGAAGGGAACTCTTAACAAAATTCTAGGCACCTCCTCTTCCTCCCATTCCTGCATTAGGGTGGCAATGACCCCGGGGGTTTTGGTGGAGGCGGTAGAAGGCATGGGTGGGGACTGGCTGAGGCCAGAGCTGACAGGGCCTGTGCCCCCTGACTCACCCTTTCCTGCTGGATTGGATTTAATGTCAAAAGGGTTCTTCCATCTCAGCTGCTCACTTCCCTCCTGCCTCCCTCTCTTTCAACACTTTCCTCTGAACCATGTTCTTCTTAAGGTCCCCGAAGGGGCTAAAGCCCATGAGGCCAGCTGCCCTGGAGCGTTCCAGTTCTACCAACCCGTCCTAAGGCCAGAGGACAGAGCTTCTGACAGAGCTCTCCTGCTGCCTCCGCCGTGACATGACCTCCGGTAGACGCCAGAACTGAGGCCCCAGGATGACAGAACCCGAGACCCTGAAGCTGCTGGAAGTGAAGAGTCCCGAGGCCCCGGAGAAGTGCCCACCCGAGGCCTTGGTCCCCAATGGCAGGCAGCCCGAAGGGGAAGGTGGGGTGCAGTCCCCTGGTGCTGAGTCCTCGAGAGTGGAGTCTTCAGCTGGGTCTCCCGCAGCTGAAGAGGGGACTGGAGACGGTCTAGACAGCACAGTAAGCGAGGCGGCCACCCTGCCCTGGGGGACTGGCCCCCCGCCCAGTGCCCTGTTCCCCGATCCCCCTGGTTGGCGGGACATTGAGCCCGAGCCCCTCGAGTTGGAGCCACTCAGCAAACTAGAGGAGTTGCCTGAAGATGATGCCAACCTGCTGCCTGAGAAGGCAGCCCGGGCCTTCGTGCCCATCGACCTGCAGTGCATTGAGCGGCGGCCCCAGGAGGACCTTGCGGTGCGCTGTGAGGCGGGCGAGGGCGAGAGCCCTGTGAGCGCAAGTGGGCTGAGGCCGTGGCTAGGCCGCCTGGCCACCCCTGTGGGAGCTGCGGGAGCTGCGAGGGCCATGAGGGCCTGAAGGCCGTGGCCTCCGTGGGAGCAGCTCTCCTCCTCTTCCCCTGCCTGCTGTATGGCGCCTACACCTTCCTGCCCTTCGATGCCCCCCGGCTGCCCACCATGAGTTCCCGCCTTGTCTACACACTGCGCTGCGGCGTCTTCGCCACCTTCCCCATCGTCCTGGGTGAGCTGGGGCCCTGTGAGAAGGAGGGGGCGTCTGGGGATGCACTTGAGGTCAGGGCCTGTCCGGCTTGGGGAGCAGGGGTTTTCTCCACTCAGCCTGAACCTTCAGGCCTCGCACACCCTGCCACCCTGTGTGCCTGTCCCCTCCCAGGACCCCCGAAACCCCCTCTGGAGAGCCCATGACCTTGAGCTCTCCACTACAAACCCTGCCCTGCATCCTGTCTCCCGGTCGATCCTGACCCGTGTTCTCCCCCTGCCCCCGCGCCCCCGCCCAGGGCTCCTGGTGTACGGGCTGAGCCTGCTGTGCTTCTCCTCCCTGCGACCCTTCGAGGAGCCTCGGCGGGAGGTGGAGATCCACCGGCAGTACGTGGCCCAGTCGGTCCAGCTCTTCATCCTCTACTTCTTCAACCTGGCCGTGCTGTCCACCTACCTGCCCCAGGACACCCTCAAGCTGCTCCCTCTGCTCACCGGCCTCTTCGCCGTCTCCCGGTGAGTTGGGGCAGGGCACCGGGCAGGTGATGGTGCTAGAGGGACCCAGGACTGAATGTCTGGAGAGCCACTCAGGGACAGGGAGCTTTCTGGATCCTGCCTCAGCCCAAATGTGTGCCCCGGAAAGATGAGTCCACTTTCTCCCTTGCAACTTGCCTCCCCTGGGGGAGCAGCTCGTATGTCTTCTCACAAGAAGTTGATTTCAGAGGCGCTTATGCCATCGAGGACGGAACGGGCTCCCCGGTGTCACAGACACCAACCTCCACGCACTGCGGCCACTCCTGTGACGCTCTGGGCAGGGAGCCGATGGCCTCTGGTTGAACACCCGCTATAAAGGGCTCCGTGCTCTATAAGGCAGTCTGCTTCGTTTTTCAAAGGTCCTGATTATTACAAAGTTCCTTATAGTGTGCTCAAAACTGCCGCCCTGGCTCTGATCTCTGGAATTGCCTGGGATAAATCTGGATATTTGATAACAGCCTGCTCCCCTAGTGTTTACTTGCTGAGTGACCCTGATTTCTTCATTGTCCTGAGTCCTTCCCTCTGGGTAGGAAATTCTCCTACTTGTCCTATGGGGTGGGGAGGCCTGGTCAAGGGTATTGTTCTGTTCATACCAACCAAGGCCACCTCAGTTCTCATGGCAGCCTCATTGCTCTCATTTATAATTTACAGCCACCTGAAATCCTTAAAGGTGCTTTCATGTGAACTACTGTTAACCCAGAAGGTACCTTTGAATTTGTCTCTAACACATTTCCTTTCGTCACTTTCAATATACAAATCCAGACTGATTTAATTGCTAAAACACTCTTCTTATTGAGCTAAAAGTTGTCTTCCTGTTACTTCTGATGTCGTCTAGTGGTCCTGTCCCACCAGCCTCCCATCACATAGCCCTGCGTTTTCTCCTAGTAGATGTTTCCCAAGATAAACATTCCCGCTCATATAACTCCACTTCCCGTCTCCCTCTCGGGGAATGCTGGTTTCATTACAAGTTGGTTTAAGCCATGAGAATCATCAGGGAGCTAAAGAATCGGTGATTGTCTGGTCCACCTGACCCATTTTATACAGAGGAAATCACAACAGATTGGGGGAGAACAGTCGCTCAGGTCTGCCAGCGCAAGTGGCAGGACTAGAATCCAGGACCCTTCCCTCCCTTATCCAAGGTCCTTTCTTTTCTACTATAGGCAAGTAACAAGCATTTTTTAAAAATCTTCACCTGAGGATATGTTTTTATTTTTAGAGAGAGGAAGGACGGGAGAGGGGGTTGTGACAGACAGACAGACATCAATGTGAGAGAGAAACATTGATCTGTTGCCTCCTGTAGGTGCTCCAACTGGGGATCAAACATGCAACAAAGATATGTGCCCTGACCAGGAATCGAACCCACAGCCTTTTGGTGCAGGGGGGGATGAAGCTCCAACCAACGGACCCATCCAGCCAGGGCTATTCTCAGCTTCTTTATTTTCTTGGGGGAGAAAAAAAACAAAATCATATATATATTTAAAATTGATTTCAGAGAGGAAGGGAGAGGGAGAAATAGAAACATCAATGGTGAGAATCATTGATTGGCTGTCTCCTGCACGCCCCCTACGAGGGGCTGAGCCTGCAACCCAGGCATGTGCCCTGACCAGGAATTGAACCATAACCTCCTAGTTCATAGGTTGATGATCAACCATTGAGCCACACTGGCCAGGCTGTATCTACTTTCATCATCCATTTCATCTATAAGATAAAGTTGTGAGGATTAAATAAGTTAATTCACGTAGAGTGTGTACAGTAGCCTGGCACTTGGCAAGGGCTTGCTAAATGTGAACTTTTACTATTATAACAACTTGCCGCCTAGTGCAGTAGAGAAGCAGTGGTTACTCTTCCCTCTGTTTAACAGGTTTAAACATGGAGGCACATCAACTTGATAGTAAGTTGTCCTTTATATATTAAGAGGAAGCTGCTCTCCTCCCCTGTGGAGGGGTATGTATTTTTAGTGGATATTCCAAGAGAACTTTGGTTGTGGCTTATCCATCCTCTGGGCGTCACCCTCTGGAAGCTGCCTTCCTTACTCTTCCTCTGGCTCTCTGAGATGGCGGGAGGAAGGGTAATGAACAGGCTTGGGATCAAATCACAGTTTTACTATTTCCCACATATGTGACCTTGACCTTGGATCAGTCTTACTTAACCCCTTTGGAATCTTAGTTTCTTCATTTGCAAATGGGGAACTAAACACAATGGAAGGTGCCGCTGTAAAATAATGAGGAAACTGTCTATATACTGATAAAACTAATTGCCAAGATATGTAAATCGGGGGAAAGTCAATGTGCAGAACAGTCTAAATAGCATGCTCCCAAACTGCAAAAGGGGGTGGGGAGGAAAACAGATCTTTTTGTTCATACATGCATTAAAAAAAAAATCACTTTTTACACAAGAAACCATAATATTGGATGCCTGGGGTAGGGGTGGAATAAGGGAGGGGAGGAAAGAGAACAAAGGGTGGCAGGGATCAGTAGAGGAAGGTATTTAATACATGCATTAGTACCTTTGCATTTTGAACCATGTGACTGTATACTGCCTACTCAAAAAATTTTAATTAAAATTTGAAAAACAAAAGAGGGAGGGAAATAATAAACTCACCTCATAGAGCTATCGGGAATTTTATCGGGAATAGTGCCCCTTGAGTAACTAGCATTGCGCCTGGCACATTGTACATAAACATTTACTGTCTTTAGAAGCATCAGTCACACCCACCAACCATCCCCCTCCCTCACTGTCTGTCCTCTCTTCTCGCCCGGCAGGCTGATATACTGGCTGACCTTTGCCATCGGCCGCTCCTTCCGTGGCTTTGGCTACGGCCTGACATTCCTGCCCCTGCTGTCCATGCTGGTGTGGAACCTCTACTACATGTTCGTGGTGGAGCCTGAGCGCATGTTCACTGCCACTGAGAGCCGCCTGGACTACCCCGACTATGCCCGCTCGGACTACAGGCCCCGCCCCTGGGGCTGAAACAGTTCTGACCTCTTGCCCCAGCCTGGGTACCTTGGTGAGATGAATCCCGCTCTGACCCGACAGGGTCCCCTCCAATCAGGGCTTGGATTGACTGACCCCCGCCCCTTCAGCTCTCCCCGTGTCTGGGCTGGCCTTCACCTTCGAAGCCCAGGATAGGCATGGGGGAGGGAGGTAGACCAGATGTTTTCTTGCAGGGAGAGGTGGACAGTTATGTTCCTTAAGGATGCTGAGGGAACAGGGCCAAGACCAGGGCAGCCTCCCTGAGTGGCCTACCTCCCTCCACTGCCACTAGCGCCCACCACTGCTGAACTCGTCCACTCTCTGGCCGCCTGTGAGGTGGTGGGCAGAGCCATAGCCAAAACGCTGACCACTTCTGTGCCAGCTGTCTAAGCACAAGGCCTCAAGGAGACTGGAAATACTGCTCTTGCCTAGAGATAAAGGCTGGGCATCGGATCAAATGGGACTTGGGTAAAACCATCCTGGGGCCTGTGTTGAGAACCCTCCATGACTGGCCCTCACAAGCCCTTTAGACTCAGTCAAGACTATTACAGCTGCCCCAGCACAGAGCTGCTGCCTCCTGTCTTCCGACCAATTAGGCCCCTGTAACTTCCCACTTCCAAACTGCTCAGAAGAGAGGAGCACACAGGGAAGCCTGCCTCCCATGAGATGTGTGTGTGTGTGTGTGTGTGTGTGTGTGTCCATCCATGTCCATGCATGTGGTGGCTTGGGCGTGGTTGGAAGGCACAATGGCTGGTGTTAACCCCATGTGAATGTGTGTG